TTTGGGTACAGATGTCTACATAGCCACCATTCCCAAACAGTAGGACGGCTGATAGCACAACGACCAGGGTTGTTAGATAAAACCAGAACTTTTTTAGATCAAACTAAGTTTTCAAAGTAAGACTAAAATCAAAGGATCCTCAGTCAGTGGTATAAGATCGATTGCCTGATTACACCCCACAACCTGAAACCCTCCTGCTTACACTCACAGACTCTAAGGAGCCGGAATGCAAGAAGAGCAGCATACGTTGTAAAAAGGACAAATCATACACTTTGTCACAAATCTAACTATAATGTAAATCTTTGCCAAAATCAGGCCGACACTTGGTTTAACTGTCAATTTGGGAAAAACCGTCATAAATCCTACCACTAAGCAGGGACCCTAAGCCTGTGACATGGGGAAAGCTGCCTGTCATTGGTCACCAGTCTTAGATTCATGAAACACATTGGACAAACCATACCATAAATTATTACCATACCGTCCAAAACATACTCATAAATTATTGACATAAGGCAATAAATCATCTTTTTGACACTGTTTGTATTTTAACACTACTACTGTCAAAGTCTTGGGGCTCTATTTTGACAGTCCATGCGCAGAGTGCAAAACGCAGGGCGCAAACGCTTTCCGCTTTGCGCCGTGGCGCATGGTCTAAAAGGGTTGAGCTTATTTTCTTAATGAGTTATAGGTGTGTTTTGAGAATAAACCAATTAGAGTCTCATCTCCCATTCCCTTTAAGAGCCAGCTGCGTCGCGCCATAAGTGCATTCGCTATTTACAGGACGTAAAGTAAGTCTAAGTGGAAAAAATTAGCATTTCACTAGCAAACAATTAACATTTAACAGTTTTTTTAACAGAAAACTGTTAACCTGTCAGCCAGCACTTAATTTTGGGGATTTACACCTACCTAACTTTAAATAGTAACAGTTCCTCACTCCAGTAAGCTACAAACACAAATCATATATCATTAGAAAGAAGACGCTTTGAGCTTTACTGTGGTAAAAGTTACATGTTAAAAAATATAAAGTTATGAATTTTGAAGTCATAAGGTAAAAAAAAAAATGTATAGTGTTCAATATTTGTTTTTCATATAAAAACACAGGAAAACATTAATGTAATGTCCAAGAAAAAAATATGAATTGAAAGCCAAGTATTTCATGAGTTTATATTTTAAATTTGATGATGATAGCATGCAAAATGAAATTTCTGTAGAAAGTTTTCTGAGGCTATGTCGATGTCCTTCTCTCCCTCACCGTCAGAGGCACTTTCTCCAAAAATATCTTCCCAAAGCTAAAACATTTACAGTTGCTGAATGATTTGGTCTACATTCACAGTTCATGTATCATTAGAAAGAAGACACTCTGGGCTTTATTATCCATCATCCAGTGTTTATAATACTCTAAATGAAAAAAATTTTATGGATGCTTAAGTAATGTAAAAAAAAAATGCACTAGACTAAACATTTAATAATTTTATAAAGAAATATTTTAAATCAGTCCTGGATCAACACAGTAATAGTAATATGACAGAAGCCACATATCTCCTGAGTATATGTTTTGAATTTGATGCCAATATGATACAAAATGAAATTTCTGGAATTATTTTTATAAGACAATGTCTTGTGATTTTTTCCCCTCTCCTTGTTTGTGGAGAAGCAGTCTGATGACCTCACGCACTGAAGGTTTTTACACACCACTGATTTTTAAATTGTAAAATAATAAGCAGAAACGTACAGCATGAATGATTTATTTGAGCACAAGTAGTACATTGTATAAAATAAGTCGTGCATATGCAACAAAAAAAAGCCTTGTACAAGTTGTTGTTCTCTCAGTCACTGGCAGAAGATTCTTCACTCCATCACTCCAGCGCAGAGATTCAGCTGCATGACAAAAAAACAGAATTAGCATTCTATTGTAAACAATTGTGTTTCCCCCCTAATTACTCTGATGCCCACTTTTACATATGCTAATTTATACACATAGCTTACAGATGTAACAGCAGCCATTCAGATAAATAGCCAACATGCTGCATGATAATGGTAAACATTACTGAAAGATTATGGCTAGCGGAGACATTCACACTTTTAGCCACAAACAGACTAAACACAGAAGACCTGAGATGTAAACAACAAGCAATGACAGTATAATAAGTTACTCACCGTTAGAAAAACTGAAAGTAAGGCTTCATGTACGTCGTGCAAGTATCAGCTCAACTCAGAAATATTCTCCTTTGATTACTTTTTGCAAACGAGCCGCTCTCTCCTGTTAGCTTCAGCTGTGCAGCTGTGCGGGCAGGGGGGCAGGTGCATCGAGTGATGATTGACAGTTCTTTGCAGCCAGTTAAAGCAAAAAGTGTCCAGTAACATGAAAATCACGCAGCCATTGGCTAAATTCTCTGTCAGTCAAACTTTGGGGAAGTAGAAACTGAACTTCTGTGTATGATCGATAGCAAATGACTGAGAGACATGCAGATGGCCAAAACGCTCGGCTTTGTTTAGATTTTAGTAACTATAACTTGGACTTTTTAATTTAGTTTGTGGTCTCATTTTATCTGTAACATTGTAAGCTATGACTGTCATGTTACATAAAAGATGAGGAACCCAATTGCAAGCAAAACAAAGTCTTTCAATTGTTCTCACAAATAGACAGGAAATTGGTGAGTGGCTGGAGGCACTGAACAGGTGAATAATAATAGTGGTTGTCTGGTTCGGCAGCACTGATCAAATGTTCATAATACTCATCAACAGAGCAAATAAAACATTAGTCATAGAAGAAACCGGGATGTCTCAGATGTAACTCATCAACAGAGCGGATCACACATTCATCAGGAAGAAACAGGAAGCATCAGAGACTGCAACATGGAATGCAACCAGACCACTCACCACCAGCGAAGAGAGGAGCCTGAAGAAACACGAAGAACCGTGAGCAAACAACGAACTGACAAAGTGAGACAGGAACGCTGAACATTTATAGGCACAATAAATGCGCTACACCTGTAGCGCGCTGATTATCAGCCGAGCGGCGCTACGGAACAGTTCCGGTAACAAAGATGATGTGACCGCTCAGCTGATGACATGAAAACAAACACCCACTGACAGCCACGCGACACCCACACAAAGACAGAGAGAAAGGCACACATACTTAGAAACACGTATCATAATAATGAACTGTCACACAACGCAGACACTTCAAATAAGGAGCAGATGAATCCACAACCGTGACATTACCCTCTCCCCTAGGCACGCCTCCTGGCGTCCCCAGACGAGCCTACCTGGCGATTGTAATCATCGATAAGAGAGTGGTCCAGTATGTCCCCGGCTGGAACCCAACTTCTCTCCTCCGGACCGTAACCTTCCCAGTCCACCAAGTACTGAAATCCTCGTCCCCTCCGTCTAGAGTCCAGAATGCGCTTAACCAAATAAGCAGTCTCCCCATCTACGAGACGCGGCGGGGGGGGGGGGGGGGGGGGGATGGGGGGGGAGGGGACTGGTGTGTGCGGATTAATTGCCGTATGAAAAACGGGCTTTACTTTGGATACATGAAATACGGGATGAATTCTCCTGTAGCCTGGAGGTAATTTGAGGCGGATTGCCACTGGACTAATGATTTTAGTGACAATAAAAGGGCCAATAAATTTAGGAGCTAACTTATTGCAAACGGTGCGGAGAGGAATGTTTTTAGAAGAAAGCCACACTTTTTGACCGACAACGTAAATGGGAGGCTTAGACCGGTGGCGATCGGCTTTAGCCTTGGTGCGCGTCCCCACTCGGAGAAGGGTCTGTCTGGCCCTGTTCCAAGTGCGACGGCACCTCTGGACAAAGGCGTGAACAGAGGGAACCGCGACTTCGGATTCCAGACTGGGAAAAACTGGTGGCTGGTAACCTAGACTACACTGAAACGGAGAAAGGCCCGTGGACGACACTGGTAACGAATTATGTGTGTACTCCACCCACGAAAGTTGCTGACTCCAGGAGGAGGGATTCTGCGAGACCAAACATCGCAATGTGCGCTCAAGATCCTGATTGGCTCTCTCGGTCTGGCCGTTACTCTGGGGATGAAAACCAGAAGAAAGACTAACAGTGGCCCCCAATAAACGGCAGAATTCTCTCCAGAATCTAGAGAAAAACTGAGGCCCCCTGTCAGAAACCACTTCCATCGGGAGGCCATGAATGCGAAAGATATGATCAATGACAGCAACCGCTGTCTCTCTGGCTGATGGTAATTTGGGCAGAGAGATAAAATGAGCAGCCTTTGAGAACCTGTCCACCATGGTCAAAACTACCGCGTTACTGTTAGAGGATGGAAGTCCCGTAACAAAATCTAGCGAGATGTGTGACCAGGGTCTTGAAGGTACTGACAGCGGTTGAAGGAGCCCAGCAGGTGGGCGATTGGAAGACTTAGAAACCGCACAGACAGAGCAAGCCAATACAAAATCGCGCACATCACGAGCCATAGTTGGCCACCAGAATCGTTGTTTGGTAACGAATAACTTGCGACTCACCCCTGGGTGACAAGCTACCTTGGAGGAATGACCCCACCGGACAACGTCGGACCGTAATTCCTCCGGCACGAATAACCGACCCGGTGGGCATCCGATCGGGGGCGTTACCCCATTCAGGGCTGTGCGAACCCTCGACTCGATCTCCCAGGAAATGTTCGCTACAACAATCCCCTGGGGAAGCACAGGATCAGGTGATGACGTGCGATCCGACGGGCAAAAAGACATGATAATGCGTCAGGTTTGATGTTTTTGGAGCCTGGTCTGTAAGAGATCGTAAAATTAAACCGTCCGAAAAATAACGCCCACCGAGCCTGCCTGGAGTTTAATCTTTTAGCGGATCTAATATATTCAAGATTCTTATGATCGGTCCAGATGATAAAGGGCACCCCCGAGCCCTCCAACCAATGACGCCACTCCTCCAAAGCAAGTTTGACGGCCAACAACTCTCGATTACCAATGTCGTAATTTCTTTCAGCAGGAGATAATCAATGAGAAAAATACTGCCATCCGAGGAGGAGCGCTGGGACAGAATGGCTCCGACCCCAACCTCAGACGCATCGACCTCCACCACAAACTGCCGGGAAGGATCAGGGGCAATGAGGATCGGGGCTGAAACGAAGCAGCCTTTTAGTTTGGAAAAGGCAGCTTCAGCTGCACTGGACCACCTGAACGGCGTCTTGGAGGAGGTCAAGGAAGTCAGAGGTGCGGCGAGCTGGCTGAAATTGCGAATAAAACGCCGGTAAAATTGGCAAACCCCAGAAACCTCTGCAGGGCTTTACGAGAATCTGGGGTTGGCCAATCTACCACAGCCTGAATCTTCTCTGGATCCATGCGCATCCCCTCGACTGACACAATATGTCCTAAGAACTGAACCGACTGTGCATGAAAAACGCATTTCTCCGCCTTGACATATAGCCTATTCTCTAACAGCCTCTGCAACACTCGCCTGACGTGTTGAACGTGTTCCTGGAGAGAGTGAGAAAAAATCAGAATGTCATCCAGGTAGACATAAATAAACTGATCTATCATATCTCTCAACACGTCATTGACGAGTGCCTGGAAAACAGCCGGAGCGTTGAAAAGGCCGAAGGGCAGAACGCAGTACTCAAAATGCCCTCTAGGGGTGTTAAACGCTGTTTTCCACTCATCCCCGGGTCTTATGCGAACCAAATAATAAGCATTGCGGAGATCTAACTTTGTGAAAAAGTTTGCCCCCTGCAGGCGCTCGAAGGCTGAAGACATCAACGGTAAAGGGTAAGTATTCTTAACCGTGATCCTGTTCAACCCTCGATAGTCAATGCATGGGCGAAGGGAACCATCCTTCTTTTTCACCAAAAAAAAATCCCGCCCCCGCCGGTGAAGAAGACGCGTGGATGATCTTGGCTGCTAGAGAATCAGAAATATATTTCTCCATGGCCTCCCTCTCTGGAACAGACAGCGAATATAACTTGCCCTTGGGCGGAGACGTACCTGGCAATAAGTCTATAGCACAGTCATAGGGACGGTGAGGAGGTAGAGAAGCAGCCCGGGACTTACTGAACACTCTCTTCAGGTCATGGTACTCACGGGGCACGTTTGACAGATCCACCTGCTCCTCCTGAAACACAGAACAAGGAACAGTGGAACAAGCAGACAATAAACAAGACTTAAGACAGCTCTCACTCCATGAAAAAACTGCACTGTGACCCCAGTTAATGTGGGGCTTGTGTAGGACCAACCATGGATGTCCCAAAATGACGGATTATTAACAGATTTAGTAAGAAAGAAAGAAATGTTTTCAGTATGATTTCCTGAAGTGACAAGTCTAATAGGAGCCGTGATTTGTGTGATGGTTGGAAGAGATAATCCGCTAAGTGCTTGGACTGCTATGGGTGAGGAAAGAGGAGAGAAAGGAATTTTTAACTCATTAACTAAATCAGAGTCAATAAAGTTCCCTTCAGCTCCAGAATCAATGAGCGCATAACAGGAATGAAAACTTGAATTAAATCCCAACTTAATGGGTAGAGATGTGGTATTGGGAGAGTCCTTTCCAGTCATAATCTCTCCCACCAAAAAACGCTTACCAGTAGGTGAATTATTGTTCTTGACCGTGCATAAGGCTACAAAATGCCCTGCAACCCCACAGTACATACACAAACCACTTGTGCGTCGGCGGCGTTTCTCCTCCGCTGAGAGGCGAAATCTTCAGATTTGTCTAGGCTCGGATTCTGGAACAGGAAGTGTAGCCTCCGAACAACTGGTCTGTGAAGCCAAACGTTGCGAACGAAGCTCTCTGTGGGCACTTCTGCGCTGAAGGCGATTGTCCACCCTTATGGCCAGGTTAATGAGACCGTCCAGTGTCTTGGGAAGCTCCAAAACGTAGATCTCATCCTTAATACGGTCCGCCAGTCCGTGAAAGAACATGTCCCACTGTGCTTCGCTGTTCCACCCTCAGTCGGCCGCCAGGGTGCGAAAGTCGATGGAATATTCCGCCACACTGTGCTCCTCCTGACGGAGCTCAGCGAGTCGTCTGGCTGCCTCTCTCCCCGAAGTCGCTGGATCGAAAACCACCCGGAGTTCCTCCGAAAACGCTTTAAAAGACACACAACAGGGAAGTCTCTTCTCCCAGACCATTGTTCCCCATAATGCAGCTATGTCCGTCAGTAAGTTGATTAAAAATGCCATCTTGCTCGCCTCAGTGGGAAAAGATGAGGGCTGGAGTGATATAAAAAGATCGCATTTGGTTATGAAGGATCTGCATAAATGGGGTTCACCTGAATAACTTTGTGGTGGTGGTAGTCGTGGTTCGGAGGTCCGTGAACTCTCATTAAAAACAGGACTGGGTGGTGGTTTGACTGGAGACACTGACAACGTGGATCCAGCTTGGAGACCCGAACTGAGTTGCTGAACTTGATTAGACAGCACGGTGATTTGATTAAAAAGTGCTTGGATGGTCTGGCTGGAAACCTCCATACTTGCTGGGTTCAAATCTGGTCAGTTCGTTCTGTCATGTTACATAAAAGATGAGGAACCCAATTGCAAGCAAAACAAAGTCTTTCAATTGTTCTCACAAATAGACAGGAAATTGGTGAGTGGCTGGAGGCACTGAACAGGTGAATAATAATAGTGGTTGTCTGGTTCGGCAGCACTGATCAAATGTTCATAATACTCATCAACAGAGCAGATAAAACATTAGTCATAGAAGAAACCAGGATGTCTCAGATGTAACTCATCAACAGAGCGGATCACACATTCATCAGGAAGAAACAGGAAGCATCAGAGACTGCAACATGGAATGCAACCATTCGGCACAATAAATGAGCTACACCTGTAGCGCGCTGATTATCAGCCGAGCGGCGCTACGGAACAGTTCCGGTAACAAAGATGATGTGACCGCTCAGCTGATGACATGAAAACAAACACCCACTGACAGCCACGCGACACCCACACAAAGACAGAGAGAAAGGCACACATACTTAGAAACACGTATCATAATAATGAACTGTCACACAACGCAGACACTTGAAATAAGGAGCAGATAAATCCACAACCGTGACAATGACATCGACTGGTCTTTTACTCCAAAGACGGCGTTTTCACGTGCGAGTGCCATGGTAAAACGGTGTAAACAATAGGTCTCCGGCAGAAACGGGGACATAAACAAATGAATAACCATCCATAATTCAACACTATTGTGTCAGTGGACTAAATGTGCTTGATGGGATGTTTTCCGTGGACTCTTACCTTTCAAAATAAACTGTGATGCACAGCAATGAATGCGTGTGTGTGTTGTTATCACATGATATGTATGCCATATCTAATAAGCGTTTTCTCCAAAACTTACACAAATTTAGCAAATACATTCTTTATAAGCTTTCCATTGAAACACAACTAGCTGCAATGGGTGCTTAGGGGATGTAGCTTTAAACTGATGTGGGGATTTCAAGACTACTCGTCCTTTTTGACGTAATCTATTCATAAACATTGACATGTGGAAAAAACATCACCTCAGTGCGACCTCGTCGGGGCACTGTGGAAGGGGTTAAATAGAGCATCTACTGCGTGAGAATGAGAGATAATGGATCACTTTCATTTTCGCTCTTGGATAGGGAAACCTTCCCACACAGACATCAATTAGTCTATAAATAATTAATTGTGTTTGTTAAGCGCAAATATTCATTTCAAAACTATTTCTAAATTCAGTTCTAATTTCCAGCAAACGAATAAATGAACAATATTAACGAAGTGTGCTCAAAAACCTGAGTTATATCCTAAAACATATGTTGTGCCCCTTATGGTCTGAAACCTGACAGGTGGGGAAATCTAAGCTTGTTTTTAATAAAACAAATATAAATATGGATATAATAAATAATACTGCTAATAATAATAACATTATTCCAAATAAATTGTTATGAATGAACTGAAAAAGCCTCCCGAGATGAAGAAGACATAAAAGCAGTGATTTTTCTTATTTATGTGTTTGGCTGTGAATTGCTGTATTTGTTCCTGCTCCTTTTGTGATACCATGTCATTCACTAGCTCACCATGAGGACGTCTTGAAAATCCATAGGCATCCTGATTTTGTCTTCCAGATCTATAGATCAGATTGAAAGAGAAAGTCGCCAAAATTGATAGCCAACGATAACTGGTGGCATCAAGCTTTGTGGAAGACAGAATGTATGTAAGAGGATTACTGTCAGTTACGACAGTGAAGTGGTTGCCATAAATATAGTCAGATAATTTTTCCGTAACTGCCCACTTTAAGGCAAGAAACTCTAACTTATGGGCCAGATATTTAGACTCACTTCTGGAAAGGCCTCTGCTGGCAAAAGCTATGACTTAACTTTCTCCATCCTGTTCCTGATATAATGCGGCACAAAGACCTGTGGTGCTCGCATCGGTGTGAAGCATGTAAGGTAATGTCGGATCCACAAAACCAAGAACAGGAGCACTAGTAAGTTTGGAAATTATGGTATCAAATGCTTCATCACAATCTGCTGTCCACCGACTACCGAACGACTCTTTTGGGTTGAAATACTTCTGCTTTCCTTCAACAGTCTGTTTACGATTTACTGGGGTATACCCAGCAGTTTAGTCATTCAAGGGTTTAACAATCTTAGAATAATTTTGGATAAATCGCAGATAATACCCTGCGAATCACATGAATGATCTTAACTCTTTTAGGGTCTTTGGTTTTGGCCAGGTCTTGAGGGCACATATTTTTTCATAATCGGTCTGGACACCTGTTTCGGATATGATGTGGCCTAAATACCGAACAGACGCTTGGAAGAATTTGCACTTTTCTGGGGACAGTTTCAGCCCATATTCTCTTAGTCTTGCAAGTACTTTCAAGAGCCGCTCCTCATGCTCTTCAGGAGTTTGGGAAAATACTATCAAATCATCAAGGAACACCAGGACCTCAGTAAAATGCAGATCTTCCATGCACTTTTCCATTAAACGTTAGAAAGTACTGTACTTGGTGCATTTGTGATGCCTTGAGGCATTCTATTAAACTCCCAGAACTCTAACGGGCATGAGAAAGCGGTCTTGTACTTATCAGATTCTTCCATTTCTATCTGGTAATAACCAGATTTCAAGTCCAGAACTGAGAACCATCAAGAACCTGATAGAGCAGAGAATGACTCTTCAAGGTTGGGAAAAGCATAAGAATCTTTCAGAGTTTGAGAATTCAGCTTTTTGTAATCAATGCACAGCCTTACATCGACATTTTTGTTGTGTACAACTACATTTGGGGACACAAAAGGAGATGCAGACTCTCGGATTACACCACACTCTTTAAAATCTTGTAAGTGTCATCGAACAGCTGCCAGATCATGAGGATGTATAGGACGTGCTCTCTGTTTAAATGGAGTTTCATCAAAGAGCTTAATGTTATGTTTAACTTTGGAAGTTCGACCAAAGTCAAGGTCATGTTGAGCAAACACATCTGACATATTAAGCTTCTCACTAATTCTGTCTTTCCATTCTTGAGGCAATGGGGAATCTCCGTAGTCAACTGTAATCGTTGATTTGTAGCAGCACTGACTACTAGGAAAAGATCTCACTTTAGCATTTTAAGAAAGTATGTTTTCAACAGCATGCACCTCATTAATGACAACATTGGGTTGCAAGACTACATCACGGTTAGACTCATTTTGTTGCTGGATTGTCCACATTTGCTGAGGGATAGATGTCACTTGGACTAAACTACTTGGGAAAAGATTACCTCCAGCAAGTGATGTTATCTGAGGCTCTAAATGAACATACTCTTTAACAGATAATTAACTTATACTCGGTTTCCCACATATAGCAATTGTCTGCTTTGCCAAAACAATCACAGGCTCTTTGTAATCTCACAAACCCAAGGCTTCCATGAGAGCTCAGTTTTTGTCGCAGCTCAAGTATTTTTAGAACTGCATTGAAGCCATATCGTGGAGAATGGCATTCAAGGTTATTCATGTCAGAACATTCCACATACAAGGAGTCGAGAGTGTTAGTGCCGATCAAGACTTAAGACTTTTTCCCAGAGTTGAAATCAGGAACAACTAATGCAAGTGTGGAGATTTCAATTTCAGATCCCACCATGTCTTCTGGGAAAGCAATTTGGATTTCGACATATCCTTTATACAGAACTGGTTGACCATTGGCACCACTGACCTCAAGAAGATGATTTAAAGGCTTAACGGGATGACTAGTCAAACAAGCTTGGTAGAAAGACCAATGAACAGTGGTCACTTGCGACCCTGTGTCAAGCAAACAGTTGCATCGGTTCCTGAAATTTTTACTTGTGCAGTACATTTGGATCCTATTAACTGTTGTATACCACATCCAGGGCGTGCCATGAATTCACGATGCACCTTTGAATGTTTTCTGGTGGGACGACTTTCAGGTTGACTAGCCCTAGTTTGTCCCGCAACTCGAACTATAAGGTGTTTAAAGAAGCTGCACCCCCATGACTGTTCTCTCTGTCCCACTCCTGCTGCCTCAACTTCAACTCGTTCCTTTTCTTTTCAACTAGCTTTGAGTTGGATGGATTTTCGCAGATGACCGAGATATGGCCATCTTCACCACACCTGAAACAGCAACCAGGCCGTGGTCTGCTTTTTGTGACAGGGGCACAAGTTGACTTCACTGGATGTTTGCTGGCAAACTCCGTATTAGTGGCAGAGGGGGCAGTTTTATGCTTGGATTTGACAGTCTTTCTTGGTGTTGCAAGAGTCAATAAAGTTAACTGCTCCTTTAATTCAGCAATTTGCTTCTTTAAATCAGCCGTCTCAGACAACCATCTGGATTCAGGGAGAGGTTTGCTTGTTTCTTGGCTGTACACATGTGCAGATCTAGGCATTGGGTGTGGTTTCTGTTTAGAACAGCCAATATGACTTTTCATACGCATCAGCTTCTGTGTATTCTTATCTTCTGTAGTCCTGATTGAATGCAGTAAGTCCTGGAATTCGATAGGGTTGTCTCTGTGAGCCTCAAGATGGAGTTCAGAAATGAGGACATCATCCCAACAGCCTCTGCAAAACTGCCGTTGAAGATTATGGTTAGCTTCTGATGATTTAATTCCACCTGCCCTGACTGCCCTGCTCAGAGCAACTTGAAGTCTCTGGAGATAGCTAGATGCTTTCTCTCCATCATTCTGAAATGTGTTAATAATAATAATAATAATTCCTTACATTTATATAGCGCTTTTCTGGGCACTCAAAGCGCTTTACACACAATGGGGGGAATCTCCTCATCCAGCACCAGTGTGCAGCATCCACCTGGATGACGCGACGGCAGCCATTTTGCGCCAGACCGCACACCACACACCAGCTGATTGGTGGAGAGGAGACTGCGATGAAGCCAATTGGAATATGGGGATGGTTAGGAGGCCATGATGGACAAAGGCCAGTGGGCAGATTTGGGCAGATTTGGCCTGGTGTTCATGAACTTTGAGAACAATTCATCTCCATCTTCGATTGCACCATAAGCTGAATCAAACATATTAATATACGCTCTGGGAGAAGCACGAGGTCCTAAAGACTTAACAATATCGGTGGCAGGGGGTAAAAGACTTTCCATGACTCTCCGTACTCTTTGTAAGTCAGACACAGAGGGATCATCAAGAAGTAATTCTGCGTTACAACGTCAAGTGTCATAATCACATTCGTTAATGGGCTGTGGTATTCTTCCTGAGAAAGTACGAAGCTTAATTACAGCTGTAGATGGAATTGCTGGGGAGGCTTCACTTTTAACTATATGCTCAACAATAACGTTTTGCACCTCTGTTGGATTGAGTTGAACATAACTCATAGCACCTGACAACCGTCTGTCAGTTTGTGGTGCTTCATCATAGTCCAGTGCAGGCTCATTTTGCTTTAAACTAGGACTGGGGTTATTTGCCTCAGAAACATTCAGCTGAATGTTGCTGGATCTGAGCTCATCAAGCGCAGTCTCATCTTCGTCCACTTCATCTGGAATTAAGGAGCTTGAAATCTGAGTGAGTTTTTCCCGCAGTAAATCGTTGAAAGTTTTTCCACTTAGCTTAGCTATGTTCTTCAGGGTGGATATGTAAGAGATAGTAGCACCAGAACTCTCCTAATAAGATTAGACACTGCTTAGGGCCCTTATCTGATATGTCAAACTTGGGTTCTCTTTACTTGTGTGGGTAAGAGGTAGAGAGAAGCTTATTGATTCAACAGCCGATCCAGAGCAATACTGTACAATTGAGTGGTTGTGAGATTTAGATTCAGGATTGTTAATGGAAATGACTCTTCCAATGGCACCATAACACTTTAGAAGGTCAAAGACCCATTCATCCTCAAGATTTCTTACTGGCCCATTGACTAAAAGAGCATTTACAACTTTCCCACTTTCTTTTTGTACTTTTTCATGTTCTTAATTTAAATTTTCTGGTTAAAAAAAAATCGTCTGAATGCTTCGTCTGAATATGTATATTTTTCTCCTTAAACTAAAAACGAATAAAGCTCTAATTTACATCTCCTGGCTGGCTCGTCATATTTTATGTAGCACTCCTGTCAATAATGTACACTTTATGCTAATTTTAACTATAGGCCAATAGGTTCGTCTATGGAGATGTAATTAGAAAACTTAAACTTGTATGAATAAATCTGTATTGACAAATAAATGAATTCTTGGAATTAAATGAAAATAAAATAAAATGAAACGAGCAATTAATTTAAATACTCACCCTCAAAATTATTAATGTTTGAAATATATAACTTAAAGCCCTTCTTCTTTTTGCTAGTTGGTGTGACAGTTGTCTGTCTCACGATTCGAGCCACATCATTCACGTTAATCCGGGGAAGCTCCTGTTAACAGCGAGTGTAAAATACCATGGTCTCCTGCGCCATCGTCACACATTCATCGCCAATGGGGAAAGTGGCTTCCAGTGCAGGACCGGATATTGTCCTGCCGTCTAATCGCAAACGCTGAAAAGATCATGCATAGAGTCTATCTGTAATATGGAATGACGCAAGACCACAATTAAAGTGACAGTGTTGTTTACTTAAATGAGCATCCCTAATATATATATATATATATATATATATATATATATATATATATATATATATATATATAATAGTGGTGTGTTATTATCAGCGTTAACGTGCTGCGGTAACACGAGACTCTTATCGCACAATACAAAAAATATCACCAATAATCTATTCTCAAAGTTGGGTGTGTTTGTGTGTGCGGTCCTTTACGGACAGCCGCGTGTGTGGATCTTGTGGGAAAATATAGTGAAAAGTCCTACATGACAGTAAAGGGCGTCATACACCGGATGCACACATGACAGTTGGAAGTCACACACCAGACCCGCACATTCGCATGTTATTTAAAATAAAACTACTCAGATATGATGCTCTGGTGCGGCAGAAATATGAACAGTGTCTTGAGTCGTGGCTGAGCGCCGTAGACAGCCATCGACTTGCGACACCAGTGTGTATAACCTGATAGAAGCTTATGTTTAGAATTCTGAAATGCATGGTGCTGTGTGGCGCAATGCTGCACAGTCGCCGAGCGGCGCTTCTGGTGTGCGACCTGCTTAATAATTTAATTGCGGTGTTTACTTCAATGATGCCACATGTCTTAACTCCATTTCTGTTTAGTTCAGTTATGACTTTAGTCAGATTATGGTCATCAAAAATGGCTGTTTGGAGCTTATGTAGGCCGACAGTTCAACATTTATGTTAACCTGAATAAACAGTGAGTAAACACAAGTACATCTTATTGAACATCATTTATTTTCATCATCAATTATCAGAGTAGAACAGTTTCTCCAGCAGTTTGTGATGCAATTTGGAAACAGGAGATGAGCCTCTGGTCTAATGCGCCATTTTAATCTAGATTAATTCCAAGAGTACAGTGAGATTCATCTAGATTTAAAAAATGTAGCTATGCCCACTTATAATATAATAAGCATAATGTATATTTGGCTTCATAATGATCATGATTGCTTCACATGAGTCTACACCATTTCTTTTTTAGATCTTCAATCCCTCTCTTCAGTTCTTTCACTTCTTCACTTTTCTCATCTTTAAAATGTTGGTAAAGTTTCTCCAATAATTCCTGTTGTTTCTGACGTTCTTCCAGCTTCTGCTGAAGCTCCTGAATGAGCTGCTCTTTTTTCTCCCTGAAATCATTGGAATCTTCTGCTTGTTTTCTGGCCTCAACTTCGTGTTTCTTCTTTATCTGTTTTATTTCCTCTTCATGTTTCTTTTTCATTTCATCTCTCTCTTTCTCTTCTCTCTTTAGTCTTTCTTTCTCTTCTTCTTCTCTTCTCCTGATCTCCTCATCCTGCTCTCTTTTCAGATCTTCAATCATTTTCTTCCATCTCTTTCTCTCTTCTTCTCGTCTCTCTTCATCTTCTTGTTTTCTTCTCTCCCACTCCTCTTTTCTCTCTCTCTCCAGCTCCTCATAATGTCTCTTTGTCTCCTGTCTCTTTTCCTCATATTCTCTCTCCTTTTCTTCTCTTTCTCTTCTCTGTTTCAGTCTCTCCTCCTCCATCTTCCGTCGTTCTTCTTCTCTTTCTCCTTCAAATCTCTTTCTCATTTTCTCCAGTTCTTCTTGTTTTTCTCTCAGTTGTTCTTCGTGTTTCTCTTTTCGTTTTCTTTCTTCTTCCTCTCGTTCTCTCAACCTTCTCTTCATCTCATCCTCCCATTCTCTCTGCTGTCGTTTAATTTCCTCTTGAATCTCTTTTCTGTCATTTTCAGCTTCTTTTATTCTTCTTTCCCATCTCTGTCTTTCCCCCTCTTCTTCTTCATTTCTTCTTTTCTTCTCCAATTCTCTCTTCTTTATTTCCTCCTCTTGTTTTCTCTGTACCTCTGCTATAATACGCTCTTGATCGTTTCTCATCTTTTCTTGGTCTTGTCTGTATTTCTCTTCTCTCTTTCTGTCTTCATCTTCTCTTTCTTTCTGCTGTTGTTCATACTGTGATCTCTGATTATCAATCTCTCTCTTCATTTCTTCTATTCTCTGATGATATTCAGCTCTCTGCTGTTTTTCCTCTTCTAAACGTTTCTGGTTTTCAATCTCTCGTTTATTCTGTTCTGTTTTCTCCTTCTCTTTAAACTCTTTTCTGAGTTTTTCCTCTTTCAGCTTCAGTTGATTCTCCATTTTCCTTCTCTCCTCCTCTGCTCTTTGTTTCTCTTCCTCGAGTCTCTTCATCTCCATCTCATATTTGTCTTGTAACTCTTCTCTCTGTTTCTGAATCTCTCTTTCTCTCTCTTTCAGTATTTCCTCCATCTTCTTCTTAATGGACATCTCTGCCTCCTCAAACATGTCATTAGTGAAGTATCGACCCTGATTATTACTCTTCACCTCTTCAATCAACTTTAGTAGTTTGATCACTTGGGTTTTGTCGTGTTTTTCATTGTTATTAAAAGCCAGAAATCTGTTTCCACAATCGCTGATCAGTTTCTTCAGATCTGGATTGCGTCCTTTTGTCACATAATCCTCTATAGATTGATCTTTGAGTTCGTCTCCTCTGGTGAACAGAATGATGCTGAACTGAGCAGCTTTTGTACCAAATATCTTCTTGATCAGATCAATAGTGTCTGTCTCCTCTTTGGTGATTCTTCCCACACTGACCACAATGATAAACACATGAGGTCCAGGAGCTGACAGTGAAACACATTTCGCTATTTCTTCCACCACTTGATCATTTGTCAGTGCCGTGTCGAAGAGCCCTGGAGTATCAACAACAGCTACTGATCGACCATCAACTTCACAAACTTCTTTCTCGCAGACAGTCGTCACTGAATCCATGCTTGCTTGACTCAGAAACTCCTCTCTTCCCAGAATAGTGTTTCCTGTTGCACTCTTTCCATTTCCTGTTCTTCCAATCAACACAATCCTTAGACACTGCAGATCTTCTGTACAATCAGCACCTGAAAATCACACATTCGTTATTAAAATAAAGCTCTATTTCTACTATTTCTCACTTCATATCTTAATAAAAGAAATTGAATACCTACAATGAACAATATTACTGATGTTTACTATCACTGAATTCATTGGCATGGTTACATTATCTTAAAATGCCCACACAAATATAACCATTTATTGACAATACAAACCAGTGAATGTAATGTGCGTTAGGTGCTTGATCTTGACTTTTTGCAATTACTGTGAATTATATTTGCTTGTTTAAATGTCTAAAAGTTAGATTTTGCACCTCTAATAAAATGAAAAACCAAAATCTTATTTACAGCCAAATAATCAGATGGAGCAGGTAAGGTTTACCCACTCCACTTTGCATTTTCATCCTTTTGTTGTCCTGCATGTCACATTGTGAAAATGTCCTGCATTTGTCTTAGTCTGTTTCAAGCTGAAAATCATCATAGGTATTTTTTATTTTGCAAACCATGTCTTTTAACCAAAAGACGTTACTAGCACCCTCTCTCTTTCTTTGTCTTATTCTTTATGGAATTAAACAGACTCAACCCTTTATTTTTTACTCTTGGAAAATATTTGTACTTTTATTGAATTGTTTTCTAATAAATTTTTGTTGTTAGGCTTTAAATTTGTCAAGAAACTAGCTAAATAATCTAAACTAGCCATTTATATAAGCAGGAAAATACGCTTAAAAGAGTGGTGGTAATGATTTTACATTTGGTGGAGTCATGAGTGTTGATTGATTTTTGTTTTTATTAATCCAAAGACTTATGTTTTAAGACGAAAAGGTGTGCAAATGGGGAATTGTGTTAGTATGATATAGTATTTACATGTTCAATTTAAAAATAAAATTAAAATTCTGTAGTTGTTGTGATTTTGCAGACATGCAAAGCATAAACAAAGCAGCGTCCAGTACCAGTGTCACAGTAATTGTCCTCACCACAGGGAGATTCATTATTGCAAACATGTCTGTTAATCTGATAAAACACTTTGTCTGCAACTATTTAAGAAATACAGCTAAATTACAGCTGGCCTCTTTGTGTTCCTTCTTGACTTGAAATCAGTTTTGTTCTCACGCTCTGATTCAGGTTTTTAAAATGTCAGTCACGTTTGTGACTTCACAAATTCACTGAATTATTTTTAGAGTCAAGTCTGACTTATTGCCAGCAATGTGTATCAAACTCCAGCTCTGGTCACACAAAGAGCAGACGGCCATTAACAGGGTGTCTCTTTTATTTGTTTACTAAATTAAATTAATAATTATGGAAGAAACAATGGATACAATTTTAACTCGATACAGATGATAAATAGGAAAAAAAATCCAAAGGACTGGTGCCAAAAAAATGCTACTTGCTACTTTTTTAACTTGTCATTGATTACATTTACATGGACATCAGTAATCAAACTGCCACAGCCATATCACCCTGCAGCCCAAGACCGGTTACTCACTGTAGCTAAGCAGGGCTGAGCCTGGCCAGTACCTGGATGGGAGACCACTAGGGAACGTTAGGTTGTTGTTGGAAGTGGTGTTAGAGAGGCCAGCAGGGGGCACTCAACCTGTGGTCTGTGAGTCCTAATGTGTGGTCTGTGAGTCCTAATAAAAGTGAAGGGGACACTATACTGTCAGTGGGCGCTGTCTTTCAGATGAGATGTTAAACCGTGGTCCTGACTCTCAGTGGTTATTAAAAATCTCATGGCACTTCTCGTAAAGAGCAGGGGTGTAACCCTGGTGTCCTGGCCAAAGTCCCTCTATTGGCCCTTGCGATCATGGCCTCCTAATCATCCCTATCTACTGAATTGGCTCCATCACTGCCTCTCCACTCCTCCAATAGCTGGTGTGTGATAAGCACACTGGCACCGTTGTCCTGTGGCTGCTGTTGCATCATCCAAGTGGATGCTGCACACTGGTGGTGGTGTGGAGAGACCCCCCTTATAATCGTGAAGCGCTTTGGGTGTATGGCCATACACAATAAATGCGCTATACAAACACACATTACATTACAAATATTTGACTTAATCTAATTAAGACAATAATAAGATGAAGACGTTGACATGAGTTGCTTTTTGAATGCTCCTTTCATGTTCCCGTTTTACATGTTACAGCTCATAATTCGATCATGTAATTCCAGGTGTTTCATTTATAATTTGTGGACTTTAACTGCAGTTTAACACTTTCACTTTCATTAAGGAACATTTCATGCATGCCCCCATGACAAACGAGATAATGGATGTGACTATGAACTGCTGGAAGAGTGTTGTTTTAATGAAAGTTCAAACCACATGCTGAATAGAAGAAAAAAACTCTGCATTTCATGATGCAGGTGTCTGTGGTCTTTAATGACTGGGTAGGTGCAAAGAATAATCAAACAGCCATGTGTGTGTGTGTGTGTGTGTGTGTGTGTGTGTGTGTGTGTGTGTGTGTGTGTGTGTACTATCCTGTCCTATCCTGTCTCAAAACACTGCGAAAAGCCCTACATGACAGTAATAGTTTGATTGTGGTGTTTACATGTCTGTACTGCACTTCAATAACCCAACTAAGATCGGCATACTCCCCATGTCTTAATTCTATTTCTCTTTAGTCTGATTAAGATTATGAATATGACAGGAGAATGAGTCTGTGCAACTTCAATGCTGACATTTGGGATTGTAATGCTTCATAGCTCCACAACTTGCATAATATCTAGAACTCAAGAGAATTCATGCATTGTTTTAATGTATTGTGTAGTTAACTGGCTGATACCTCAAGATCATGTCATTTACTTTCAGGCAAATTTTAAATTTTCAGTATCTAAATGGTACCTGTGACCTAACTGACCAAGGGAAAAAAAATAACTCAGAGATTCATTGGTGGATTGTGGAAATCTAGCTCTCATTATACATTACCAGACTTCAAGAGAAATACTGCTACATACTAGGGATGGGAAGATTAACCGATATGTATTGATACGCGGTCATGCGCGTGCACGATGCGAGTGCATCGGTTGAGCAGCAGAGGACGAATGAAATTTTGGAAGCAAATCGAGATGCATCGGTTTTTGCGAGATGCATCAGTTTTTCCAAGATACAGCTTATTTTTTTAATATAGAATGTATTTTTTATTTATTAGCAAGTGTTGTCAACCTGTTTTGGCGCATAATTTAATCGACCTACATAAAGCATGCCTTAGCATTGGATTTGCGGATGTGTACACTTACACTACAACTCAGTGTATCAGGTGTGCGGATGAATCTAGTGGTGCGCCCTCAGAAAGCGCGAGAAGCAAAACAAACATTTTATTCCCCACTGAGTTTTAAATCTAAAGTATGGCAACATTATGGATTTAAGGATGGACGACTTGACAGGACAGATGCAATTTGCAAAATGTGCCGCGCATCTGTAAAATACACGGGCAGTACGAGTAATCTGAAATCTCACTTGAAGCGGCGCCACGGTGTTGTTTTGAAAGCATCTTCCAGTGTTCCTGCATCCCCGGCTTTCGCACTGCTTGAACTGTAGCTACCAGCTCCAAAAGTGGTGAGAAAAGCATTGCAAGTTTTTTTCCATGCGCAACAGTTTTGTGCGCTCTACGCCAATAACGGATGTTACTGCATTGTTCATCTGCAAAGATATTCAGCCTAGTGTCACGGAGAACGAAGGTTTTAAACACCTCCTCCTGTTAATTTTTATTTAATAATAATAATAATAATATTAATAATAATAATGATAAAAATAATGGGTGTCACGGTGGCACAGTGGGTAGTTTGACCACCTCACAGCAAGAAGATTGCTGGTTTGTTATATTTTTATTAGCCTGTTGTTTACAGTGACAGTGATGTTTCAAAGCAGCATAACACTGCTAGTTCACCACCTTAAGTTTTGAATATTCAGTGGCAAAATATATCTTTGTAAAACTTGTTTTCATGGTTGAAAAGTTAAATAACATTTTTTGTTGTGCAATGGTAAACCTTTATGTTGAAAGAGTGCAAATATATACATATATATATATATATATATATATATATATATATATATATATATATATATATATATATATATATATATATATATATATATATATTAATATATATTGGATTTATACATTCTGTTTATCTTGAAAATACTTCAATAATATGTGCTATATGTTCTAAAATGGCCCTCTACTGTAAACTGACACTCTGGCTCTAAGAGAAAAGCCAGTTTGTAAAAAAAAGTCTTGGTTTTGCTTGGTTAATAAATAATCAAACTCATTCAATGGCACAGCATCCTCTTTCACATCATCTCATAAACTTGATCTAATTAGTTAGTGCTGAATTATCGCATTGTATCGTGATATGGGTGTAAATCGTATCGTGTCGCATCGCAATGTCACAAATGTGTCACTAATATATCGGAACCTATTCTTTATATCAAGATGCGTATTGGATCGGCATTATAGCTTAGATGCCCAACCCTACTACATACTGATGGAGAAGCTTTAACACACTCACCTTCTGACTGATCCTTCTCTTGAAACTCTTTGATTATATTCTCCAGTCTCTTCACTTCTTCTTGATATTTCTCCTCTGCTTCACGTCTGCCTCTGTTCTCCTGAGCTTTCACAAACATCTGAGTTGAATATGTTTTAGACTTCGTCTTCTCTATATACTCCAGCAGTTCTGGGATCTGTCTTGAGCTTGCAGGTTCTTTTAGACCCATGACACAGTACAGACCTCCACAATGACTGATCAACTTTTGACATTCTGGGCTGGATTTTATAAAGTTTGTCACTGGACTTTTAATTGTGCCATCACTGATAAATATCACTATGACATGCTGCTTGGTGTCAAATATTTTTAAAACCTTATCTACTTCCAGTTTGTCTTCATCAGTCAGATGTCCAACAGGAATTATGAGGAGGAAAGCATGAACTCCAGGATCACAGAGAGACACACAGTGGAGAGTCTGACGCATTACTTCATCTTCTGAGAGACGACTGAGAGCTGGAAGCTCCAGCAGACTGATATGATAACCATGAATCTTCTCCTCTTTCTTAAAAAGCTCTTCACTGCTTGATCTCTGGTGTGAAGTAGCGATCGGTTTTCCTCGTAAAAGTTTGGACACTGAGACTTTAAATGATTCATCACTTCCACACAGCACCAGATTCAGCTTCTGTTTTCCAGAGGTATATTTTGGCACTTGAAAACATAAAAAGACATTGAACTTACTAAACACACACATACAAAGAAAACTACTCCTAATAGTTTAATCTACTTACAGCTGGTGGAAATCCACTCTCGTATATCAACTGTAAAAAAAAAATAAATAATATTAAGTTTAAAGTTTATAAATGCTGTGGCAAGTTAATTGTGTGGCACTCATTTCAGGATTTTATCAATACCCAGAAGTCCATATAATAAAGGAGATCTGAATTTATCAAAAATATCCATAACAAATGTCCAAAAACAAAGCTACTACCATTGGCATTTGCATGGCAGTATGGTGCTCACTGGTTTAAAGTTCTAAAATGCTATTTAAATGTAGATTCAACAGGCTGTAATGCTCCCAGCAGAGAAGAGTCTTTTATTTTCTGGAAAGAGAAGTTGTAACATTACCGGTATTTGCCGGAATTCTGCTTTGTGTGAACGCAGAAGGAAGATTGCCGGAAAAGAGCGCGTTCACGTTAAGAACGTGCTGACATAAGACGTCTACTTTAGCCAATAAGAAGACTCATACACATTCACATCTGTGCGGTTTATAAGAATAAAAGCCTTTGAATATTTTTCCAGACACATTTAGCTGCTAGATATTAGTCAGATAACGTTTCTATGTTCCTTCTTAATGCAACTGTGTAAATAATTATTGATAAGATGCTTATGATAAGCTGTTGTTTGTTTACCCTCAAGCTCTGCTTCTTTCAGTTGCGTGACGCGTCGCGTGTGGCCATAAAGCAGTCCGTGAGCGCCAGCAAACACACATATATTATACACATCTCAACATGCAAAAGGGCTTCTCCATATGTTTTCATCCAAGTTGTTCACAATACTGATCCATCCACAAAGTTTGTAATGTTGTGAAATGTTTACAAATACAAGTGCAGCCTTTTAGAGGTCATTTCTGGTTAATGAGGTCAGAATTTACAGCTATTTTAAAATGGATGTGTGAACGGTCTTTTCGGAAAAATTTCGGAATGTGCTCGCCTGTGTGAACAGCGCTTTTATGAATTTACCAGTAAAGTTGTTTACCAGTATCACTGTGGTTCTGTGAAATGATCAATCACTGACTCTTAGCAATCTGACTAGCCTTTAGTTTTCATTCATTAATTTTCTTGTCGGCTTAGTCCCTTTATTAATCCGGGGTCGCCACAGCAGAATGAACCACCAACTTATCCAGCAAGTTTTTACACAACGGATGCCCTTCCAGCCGCAACCCATCTCTGGGAAACATCCACACACGCTCATATACTACAGACAATTTAGCCTACCCAATTCACCTGTACTGCATGTCTTTGGACTGTGGGGGAAACCGGAGCACCCAGAGGAAACTTCGCACAAAAACGCCAACTGAGCCGAGGTTCAAACCAGCAACCCAGCGACCTTCTTGCTGTGAGGCGACAGCACTACCTACTGCGCCACTGCCTCGCCCAGCCTTTAGTTTATAGAAGTAAAAACATTTTATGCATGTTGCTTTTGTCATGTCTATGACAATGTGCCACTGAAGTAGAGATATTAACACACAACAGCAACAAAATAATCACTACTAAAATTCAAACTAGCAGAAGCCTAATGGTCTCACTCTCAGGATGGCTTGTTTTAAAATACTTGAAAGCTTTGTTTAAATAGTTTTTTATTTTTGTTTTATTGAAATATCATCTACATAGACAGAGATTCCAAAAACTTACCTAATGTTTCTTCGGATGACACCCGGATGACACCCAGCTCTATCTCTCAGGCAAACCCTATGTTTGTTTTCCTCCTACATCCCTCACAGTCTGCTTAGCAGAAATCAAGTCCTGGCTCTCTCTTAACTTCCTCAAGTTAAATAGTTTAAAAACTGAGGTTTTGCTTGTTGGTACCAAATCAACACTTTCCAAAACTGACAGCTTTTCTCTCTCAATTGACGACTGTTCCATCTATCCCTCTAAACAGGTTAAGAGTCTGGGTGTCATGCTTGATAGCACCCTATCCTTTGATTATCACATCAATAACATCACCCGTTCTGCTTACTTCCACTTACGCAACAATAACTGTCTCCGCCCTTCTCTTACCCCTCATGCCACTGCTGTTCTCGTTCATAGCCTTGTCACATCTCGTTTAGATTACTGCAACTCTCTTCTCTTTGGTCTCACTCATAAATCTCTCTGTAAGCTTCAGTTGGTCCAGAACTCAGCTGCCCGTATCATCACCAGAACCCCTTCTTCTCATCACATCACCCCTGTCCTGCAGCAGCTTCATTGGTTACCTGTTCATTTTCGAATTGACTTTAAAATCTTTATGTTAACATTTAAAGCCATCCACAATCTCGCCCCTCCATATTTGTCTGCCCTCATCCACATTTCTGTTCCTTCTCGCACCCTGCGATCTTCTTCCTCCGTCCACTTGTCTGTTCCCTCTTCTCACCTTTCAACTATGGGCAACAGAGCATTTAGCCGCTCTGCTCCACGGTTTTGGAACTCACTACCACCTGCCATCAGAAACATTGACTCCCTTACATTGTTCAAATCAAGACTCAAAACCCACTTATTTAAGATGGCTTTTAATACTTAATTTTAAGTATCTTGTTGTTTTATTGCTCTTGTTGATTGTACAGTGTCCTTGAGTTGCTTGAAAGGTGCCTTTAAATAAAATGTATTATTATTATTATTATTATTACTTCTCCTGCTCTTTTTGGGATTTCCATCATCATCGTGATAAGAAAGACATTTGTTTACTTCACCTGATCTGGATGATAGCAAAGATTTGCTCTGCTCTTCTTCCTCAGACACTTCTTTAGCGTCTTCATACACCTCACAAGTGACGTAGTATTCTTTGGTATCTTTCAGCATCATATCAACTCTATTAAAGATCTCAGCAGGCCAATCTGGTTTCCTCTCTTCAAGCAGCAAATGTCTTCCTCTGCACACATCTGTTAACTGAAAAAGAGCTGTATTCATGTGTGAGCCGTCTGCTTTTTCATCAGTCATGATGATGATGGTGTGGTTAATAGCTTCTTCACTGAATTTGCTGAGCACATGTTTGGCTCTTGTCATGTCCTTCTCTGTAAAGTCTTTGTACTGTAGTGCGAGTATAAACGCATGAGGTCCTGGATCAGATATTTCTGCACACTCTCTGACTGTCCGTGTGATCTGATGATCTGTAGTGTCTGGACTCAGCAGATGAAGAGTGTTAATAACTGTCACATTTCTGCCATTCACCATTCGACTTTTTTTTAGCACATTGTGCTGCTTTAAAACTGTACATGGATCACTCTCATCCACATCTATTCCCAGGATTGAGTTTCTGACTCGGCTGTTTTCTGACACATCCTTTCCCAGAAGAACAATCCTCAGAGCTCTCTCTGAAACACAAAAACAACACATCATGCAAAGATAAATACCCAAATATGTCAAGATACCAAAGTTTAGACTCAATGCTCTCAACTTTTTAAAGTTCTTTATGAAGATAAATAAATTTAAAGGCTTGGTATTGATTATTATAGTGTCAGGGTAGAAAGGGAACAGATTCAAAAGCAGGTGAAACAAATATATTCTTCTAAAAAAAAAAAAAAATATATATATATATATATATATATATATATATATATATATATATATATATCCTCAAAAAGGCAGTTCAAAACTCAAAAAGGCTGAACTCAGAAATCGGCGCAGATCCGGGCGCTACCACCAGATAGCAGGAGAGCGCTCCCAAAGCAGAAGGAGAGATGAAAAGGACCAGGTGAGTTCCGGATATTACCACCAGTGGGCGAGAGAGCGATACCAAACGCTCGGCCAGCACAGGAGAAGAAAAGCCTTATGGGTACTGGTGGGCGTTTTCTCTTGGTGGAGATTCAGTAGCGAGAACGGGGCAGCCAGACTGAACCACAGCGAGCCGGATGACGGGAAAAAGTATCAAAATAAAGGAGGGAAAGAAAAAACAAAACCAAAACAAGCTGGTGCTTGGAGTCTGGGGAAACAGGACACGACAAGACAGATTACTCACAATTGAATTAACATACAAGCCTCACGAGCATGTAAAACGGACTGACGAAAGACAAGAGACGAGAGGAGACTAAATAGGGGAGAAATCAAGCAGCAACAGGTGAAGGAGAGAATCGCAAATTGATTACCAGGTCTTTAAGGCGGGGAAACAAAAAGCACGCAGACAAGGAGCACATGGCCAGCTGTCGAAACAAAAACAACACAAACAGGTAAGTCATTCCATACTCTTAACAGTATCCCCCCCCTCCCAGGGGTGCCAGAAGGGTCTCACCTCGCCGCCGAAGGAAGTCCACGATCAAAGACTGGTCCAAGATGTCCCGTGCCGGAATCCAAGACCTCTCCTCCGCACCATAGCTCTCCCAGTCCACGAGGTATTGGAAACCCCGACCACAACGTCTCTGGTCAAGGAGTCTCCTCACAGTATAGTGAGGAGTGCCGGAGTGCCGTCCACTAGACGAGGGGGAGGTGGAGCCGGAGAAGCAACAGGGTTGAGTGGGGATTGGATAACAGGCTTTACCCTGGAAACAAGAAAAACAGGGTGAACCCGACCAAGAGTGCAAGGAAGCTTGAACCAAACCGCCACTGGACTCAAGACTTTAGTGATTCAGGATGGCCCAATGAACCTGGGTGCCAGCTTGCGAGAAGGCACATAGAGAGGCAGGTCCTTTGTAGACAGCCAAACCTTTTGACCACAAACAAAAAGGGGAGCAGGAGTCCAGTGGTGGTCAGCCGCCATCTTAGTTCATCTGGAAGCCTGGGCCAAGGCCTCCTTAGCCGTCCTCCATGTGTGGCGACACCTTCGGACAAAGGTCAAGGCAGACGGAACAGCGGCATTGGGTTTCTGAGCGGGGAACAAAGGGGGTTGATAACCAACTGAACATTGGAAAGGGGACATACTTGTAGAAGCTTACGGCAGGGAGTTGTGGGCATATTCAATCCAAGACAACTGCTGGCTCCAAGAGCCTGGATTTTGAGACACCAGACAGCGGAGACTTCTTTCAAGATCCTGATTGGCTCGTTCAGTTTGCCCATTCGTCTGGGGGTGAAAACCTGAGGACAGACTCGTAGAGGCCCCGATCTGCCTACAGAACTCTTTCCAAAACCGGGAGACAAATTGGGGTCCTCTGTCAGAGAACACATCCACCGGAAGGCCATGAATCCGGAAGACGTGGTCAACTACCACCTGAGCAGTCTCCTTGGCTGATGGGAGTTTGGGTAAAGGGATAAAATGGGCCGCTTTAGAGAAACGGTCCACCACTGTAAAGATTACAGTGTTACCTCTCAGTGGGGGTAGGCCAGTGATAAAATCAAGAGCCACATATGACCAGGGTCGAGAGGGAATGGGACGTAACAGACCAATGGGTGGCCGATTAGATGTCTTATTCTGGGCACATACAAAACAAGCCAATACAAACTGTCTGACGTCCTGGGCCATTGAAGGCCACCAAAATCACTATTGGATATTGACCAGCGATCTCCGGACTCCTGGGTGACAGGCTACTTTGGACTCATGACCCCACTTGAGGACTTCGGATCTTAATCTGGCTGGCACAAATAGCCTTTCCTCTGGACTCCCTTTTGGAGCTCCCCCTCCTCGCATGGCCTCTTCGACCCGCCGTTCGATGTCCCAGGAAATAGCCCCCACCACCACCTCTCTAGGAAGGATGGCTTCGGGGGTAGCCTCTCCTCCTGGTACACCAAACAGGCGGGAGAGTGCATCAGGTTTTATATTCTTGGAACCAGGCCGGTACGAGAGGGAAAAATGAAAGCGTTTGAAGAAAAGTGCCCATCGGGTCTGACGGGAACTCAATCTCTTGGCTGAACAGATATATTCTAGATTTTTGTGGTCCGTCCAGACCAAGAACGATTGTGCCGCCCCCTCCAACCAGTGGCGCCACTCACCCAGGGCCAGCCTGACAGCCAGCAGCTCTCTGTTACCAATGTCGTAGTTTCGTTCGGCTGGGCTCAGACGGTGAGAAAAGAAGGCACTCGGATGCACCTTCCCATCCCTAGAGGACCGCTGAGACAAGACCGCGCCTATCCCGACCTCCGAGGCATCCACTTCAACAATAAACTGCCGTTTAGGATCTGGAAGACAAAGGACAGGAGCAGTAATGAAACAGGACTTGAGAACATCAAAGGCCTCCTGTGCCTGACTGTGCCATATAAACGGTACCTTAGATGAGGTGAGAACCGTTAACGGTGCAGCGACCGAGCTAAAGTTCCGGATGAACCGTCTATAGAAGTTGGCAAATCCAAGAACGGCTGCAGAGCCTTACGAGAGTCAGGGACTGGCCACTTGGCAACGGCCCTTACCCTAGCGGGATCAGCCTTAATACCCTCCGTCAAGACAATATGCCCCAGGAATGAAACGGACTTGCTGTGGAACACGCACTTCTCCGCTTTGACATACAGCTGGTTTTCCAGCAGCCGCTGTAGCACCTGGCGGACATGCTGAGTGTGTACCTGTTCCGACTCAGAGAGGATAAGAATATTATCAAGGTACACAAAGACAAATCTGTTTACCATGTCTCTCAGCACATTATTCACAAGGGCCTGGAAGACTGCAGGGGCATTGGTGAGCCCGAAGAGTAGAACTCGGTTTTAAAAACCTCACGTATCCGGATCAGGTGATAGGCATTATGGAGGTCTAGTTTAGTAAAGAGTTCTGGCTCCCTGCAATAACTCAAAGGCAGAAGACATTAAAGGCAGAGGATACTTGTTCTTAACAGTAATGTCATTAAGGCCTCTGTAGTCAATACAAGGGCGCAGAGAACCATCCTTCTTTTTAACAAAGAAGAACCCAGCCCCGGCTGGAGAGGAAGAGGGACGGATGAGGTCGGCTTCTAAAGACTCTCGAATATACCTGTCCTTGGCCTCTCTCTCAGGAGCAGAAAGGGAATACAATCGACCCTTTGGCAGAGAAGTGCCTGGGAGGAGTTTGATGGCACAATCGTATGGCCGCTGCAGAGGCAAGGAAGTGGCTCGAGACTAGCTGAAGACCTGGCGGAGATCGTGGTACTTCACCGGTACTCCAGAGAGATCCACACTCTCCATCTGAAACACATGAGACACAGAACCAGGACATGGAGCAGGACCAAGACAAATAGCAAGAAAAGACTGACTCCAAGACAACACAGAATTCCCTGACCAACAAACATGAGGGTTGTGTTTACTTAACCACGGGTGTCCCAATACCACTGGAGCACTCGGTGAGTCAAATAAATAAAAAGTAATAACCTCACGGTGATTTCCAGAGACTATCAAACTCAAACTTACAAAGGGGATAGAGTGGGTGATGGATGTAATGGCAAACCCATTAAGGGAGCACACAGTGATGGGAGAGGAGAGGGGAATGGCAGGGATTCCCCAAGATCTGGCCGTGGTGCTGTCCAAAAAGTCTCCCTCAGCTCCAGAGTCATGCAAGGCAGGACAAGAGTGAGTCAATCTATTGAACTGGACTAAGGCCGGGAGACAGGTTCAAGGTGTGGGGGTGTCGAAACAAGGGAGAGTGCCCACTAGAATCTCCCGGTTTACTGATGGGCTTGAGCTTTTGAAGGAGACTGCAATGCTCGGTAACCCGGCTTCCCACAGTACAGACAAAGGCCTCGAGCCAGGCCCCGAGCCAGACTGTCGCTTCTCCTCGACAGTAAGTCGAAGACGACCTAATTGCATAGGTTCTGGTGAGGTGGTAGGTGATGGGGTGCGAGGATCACTTGAAGGGCCATCATTCATCCATGAGGCACCAGAGACTCGACTATGCTGGCGACGATGCAGTCAAGCCTCCACACGAAGAGCGAGATCCACCAGGGGATCAAAGTCTCGGGGAAGATCATGGGTGGCAATCTCATCTTGTATATAATCATCCAGACCATCCCTAAATCTGGCACGGAGAGCCGCCTCATTCCATGTGCAGGCAGCTGCCAGGGTTCTGAACAGAACAAAATAATCAGTAACTAAGCGCCCTCCCTGACTCAGCTGGGCCAGTTGGGAGGCTGCTTCATCTCCCTGGGTGGATCGGTCAAACAGTTTGGTCATTTCTGCACGGAAGTCCTCAAACATGGAACAGAAAAGGGCACGTGCATCCCACACTGCTGTTGCCCAATCACGAGCCTGCCCTTAAGAAGGGTGATTACAAATGCCACCTTTGACTCTTCAGTAACATAGCGACAGGGCTGTAGAGCAAATACTAGGGAGCACTGAGAGAGGAATGCCCGGCAAGAACTAGGATCCCTGTCATAGGGCGGTGGGTTGTTGGCCACCTGTCTGCCACCCCGGGCATTCTGATGAAGCTCCTGAATTTGAGCATTAAGCTCGATTACTTCGGCCCTTAACATCTCCACCTCTTGCGAGGCTGCAATTAATTGTCTAGCTTGCTGGCAAAGGAGAATGCCCTGCTGCGCCACTGCGTTTCTCACATGCTCAGCACCTGCTAAATCCATAATTTGGTCAGTCCGTTCAGTCAGGGTAGAAAGGGAACAGATTCAATAGCAGGTGAAACAAATTTATTCTCAAAAAAAAAAAAACACAAAATATCCTCAAAAAGGCAGTTCAAAACTCAAAATGGCTGAACTCAGAAATCGGCGCAGATCCGGGCGCTACCATCAGATGGCAGGAGAGCGCTCCCAAGGCTTTACTGGGCAGCAGAAGGAGAGATGAAAAGGACCAGGTGAGTTCCGGATATTACCGCCAGGGGGCGAGAGAGCGATACCAAACGCTTGGCCAGCACAGGAGAAGAAGAGCCTTATGGGTACTGGTGGGCATTTTCCCTTGGTGGAGATTCAGTAGCGAGAACGGGGCAGCCAGATCGAACCACAGCGAGCCGGATGATGGGAAAAAGTATCAAAATAAAGGAGGGAGAGAAAAAAACAAAACCAAAACAAGCTGGTGCTTGGAGTCTGGAGAAACAGGACACGACAAGACAGATTACTCACAATTGGATCAACGTACAAGCCTCACAAGCATGTAAAACGGACTGACGAAAGACAAGAGACGAGAGGCGACTAAATAGGGGTGAAATAAAGCCGCAACAGGTGAAGGAGACAATCGCAAATTGATTACCAGGTCTCTAAGGTGGGGAAACAAAAAGCATGTGGACAAGGAGCACATGGCCAGCTATCAAAACAAAACCCACGTGCTCCAAACACACAAAGACAACACAAACAGGTAAGTCATTCCAAACTCTTAACATATAGAGTAATCTAATGAAATCATGGGTGCAAGTTCAAAATAACATGCTTTCATTTAATTGTGCTTTATTGTTGTCTAAATTGTTTTGATTTTAACTATTGACATTAATCATTAACTTAATATGTGAAACCTTTTGTATTTTAAATTATTTTTCAGCTGACTATGTATGAAAATAGGAAAATATTACAATGTAAAATATGAGCATAAGATTTTCATGTATTTATCAATTATTATAGGGTGTCTCTAAAAGCCCTTAGACTAACTTTTATGTGAGGGGTTCAGAAAAAAATCTAAAATCTTATGTTAAATGTATGTAAACTATCTCTACAATGAGGTATATTACCTCTTGTTGGTAGTTGGAAGCAACTGTGGGACTTACCGTCATATTCCTGAGAGCCACTTTCGCTTTTCCTTGATTCATGGCCTTCCAGTTTTACCAACTGTTTGTCATCAGAATCTGCTGCTCTGCTGTCCAACGTTGAATTCTGTTGTTCAGAAATCATTTCCTCAATTTTTTTAATAAATAGAGAATGCTGTGTGTTGTGAAGCTGCAGATGTCCTCCTCCACATTCTGTAGATATTTCCTGAATTAACTCATTTTCTTGAGCAGATCTCAGATCAGCATGATCTGGCTCATCATCAGTAGTCAGGATCATTGTTTGCTTCATTGCCTTCTCACCAAAGCAGTTCAACACTGAAGGTAATCGATCTCTTTGCTCTTTACTGAAATCCCTGTGCTGCAGCACCAGTATGATCACATGAGGTTCTGGAGAAGACAGCCCTGATGCTTCCTCTGTGATTTCTTGTAGTTTGAGATCTAGGTTGAGCAGGTGAGATGTGCTGATGACTGTGATGTTTCTGCCCTCTACTCTTTCACTGAACTCCTCCATATTAGATGAGGGTGCTTTCTCTCCAAATGCTTCTTTATTTAAGATTAAGTTTACAACTCTGTGGTTTTCTTCAAAACTCGTCCCGAGCAGGACAATCCTCAGATCACTCACTGAAACACAAATCACGTACATATTTTTGAGAACACATGCTGTAATGTTCAGTGTTAAAGTTTACCGATTATTTAGAGCAATTATTATTTTTCACATACAAATCAACTATATATTTATAAAATTAGAATACTATGGACTGTTTATTAATGTACTTACATTAAAGTACTTCATAGACGATAGTGTGTGTGTGTGCGTGTGTGTGTGTGTGTGGGGGGGGGGTAATGCTAGTGTACTATGAATTAAGACCGATTAAAAAGAAAAAGAAATACACATCTGCATCCACAAAGGAAAGAATAAGGTAATAATAGATAAGAAAAGAAAAAATAATTTAAATAAATATATTTATAAAATAAATAAATTTGTTTATTAAATTACACATGCCACCCTCCCTTTTATTGTAATGAAAAATTTTTTTGCGTATGAAACTTTTTTGAGTATGTTCTGTAACCATTTATGCATTTAATTGTGCTACCATTATTTCTTAGGCCATAATACTAATATTGATTGTGTATTGATAAGTCTTATTAATTGTAATCCTTCTGGTGCTAGAAGAGCTCTGTCCAATGTCAAAATTAAATTGAAACATTCTCTTAAATGGTAATATTTGATTAATGGAGCTGTATTAAACACTAGAATATTCTTTCTGTCATGTAGCTAATAGAAAAGAGGCTGAGGCCTGTATAACAGCTGTGGGCAACATAACTCTGAGGAGCTGCTCTGTCCTTTAATTAAGGATCATCAGTGGTTGAATTATCTTACCTTAAACCACACAATCTGTCACTGTTGTTGGTGATTGTTGTCATGAACTTTAGTTCCCCTTCGGTTGGGGAACTTCAGTGCTATTAGTGGATTTGATCTTGGAAAATCTATGTATGGGAGGATTCGGTTAAGAAGCCGCTTGTTTGAAAGAGTATTGAACGGGCCAATGAATGCAATGAATTGGCAGCGTAAGCTTGCGCAGGTGTGCCTCATTGCCAAGTATCCCAGCATATAAGCACACCTGGAGCGAGCAAACGCCATCCTTTTCACTTCAGAGACTTTCTGATCGAGTCGATGAGGGTTCCTCCTGCTGTGATCCAGCAATTCCGAGCGAACGAGAGCATTCTCCCGGTCCAGAGTGTGTACACGCAGCGGCAGACAGTCGAGCTGGGTTCTCCCTTGCCTGGCGTTCTTTGGGTCCGGTCCTCCAGAGCGATGCGTGTAAAGTTGCAACTTCACAAAATGAGCAACACAGTCGTGCAGCACGTCCTTTTCAGGACGGCGCTCCCGACTGTGTGTTTCTGAATGCGGTGGTTTCCTGTCCTCGGATGATGGGCACGGGCACTGCGTTGCATGCCTGGGGGGTTCAGCAGGTTAATGCGCTGCTCACGGGCAATTCATGTTGTCATTGCGATGCCATGACTGTTGCGCAGTAAAGATCGCGGCTAGCCTTTGCAAAAGGGCAAACCACCCCAGTTGTCCCCTGCTCTGCAGCAGGCACTTGCGCAGATCTGAGGGTTTCAGCGAAAGATAATCCGTCACCCACGAGCCCACGGACCTCCTGCTCCTCCAAGCGCTCCATCCAAGCTTCGGGCGGGGGAAGCAATCTGTCTAACAGATGGTAGCCCTTACGCTCGATGACACCGGAGACCAGAAGTCCACCGCGGCATCAGAGGGTGGGCTTTCATTGTCTGATGATGATCCAGACCCACTCACCCCTCCGGGAAGGTGAGCGCTGTCAAAACGGATCTTGAAACGGACAAGTTAGCTGTGCTTTCCCAGGCTGCTTCGGCTGTGGGTTGGAGATGGTTTATTGCCCAGCTCCGGCCGGACCGACTAGAGGGGCGTCCCCTTCTTCCCGGAGGTGCACAGTAGGCTCACGCGGTCTTGAAGGGCACTTTTTTTCTGCTCGTGCTGCGTGTCCCTCAACCCTCACTACTCTTGACGGTGGAACGGCCTGGCGATTCCTCAGGTTGAGTGCGCGATGGCGGTTAATCCGCACGGCGCCTCTTCTTGGCGGGGTCCACCTCGTCTCCCATCCAAAGCCTGTAAGTTATCTGCCTCCCTCGGAGCTAGAGCTTACAAGGCTGCGGGCCAGGCTGCTTCCGCCTTGCATGTGAAAGCCACCTACCAGCGCTACCAAGCGCAGGCGCTGGCCGAGCTGCACAAGGGTGGGTCCAACTGAGGCTTATGAGCTTTGCACCACCGCCGACTAAGCTCTTCGGACTACTAAGTCCGCTGCGTGTACGTTGGGGAGGACAATGTCCACACTAGTGGTCCAGGAGCGCCACCCCCAGCTAATATGCGCGAAGTCGACAAAGTCCGCTTTCTTGACTTTCCCCATATCCCAAGCTGGCCTGTTCGGCGACACCGTCTGTGAATTCACCTAGGAATTCAAGGCGGTGAGAGAGCAGTCTGATGGGTGATGTCTTATCGGCTGGTCCATAAGCCCGCTCTGCCCGCCCTGCCATTCATACCTGCTCCTCGCCGAAGGCGCCCGCCTACGAGAGCTGCACCACCCCAGCACATGCCTCTGGCGAAGCGAGCGCATTGAGCACCTCGGAAGCAGGCAGCGCCCCCTGCCCAGAACGCCGCTAAGTCCGGCAACGGACTGTGAAGCGTCCCTGGGACAGGCCATCTGGAGAAGAGGGAACTTGCTCTTTCCCCGCTGGAGGGCGGGCCCCATTTCTAACGGCACTTTTTACTGCCATGAAAACATCATGAAAGAGCACTTTTCCACTTCCCTGGATGTGACAGCCCAAAATCTGCCAATCTGGGACGCTATGCTTTCTAGCTTGCAGGTTCGGTGCGTTTCGCCAGTGGCTCACGAACGCTGGGAGGACAGTCTCCTTTCTCCCACCCCTCGAGCCTCCCCTCCGGAGCTCGGGTGCGGAGTGAGAGCAAATCTCTCACCTCCAGCTCTTCCGTGGGACCCGCGCACTTCCCGGATCAGCACACCCACTTCGCGGTGCCCCACTGCTGGTACGTCAGCGATTGTAGCGATGAGTCCATTAGCGAGAACTCTGCCTGCCTGGTTGGCGCGGGTCAGCTCTTCGGGGTGGCTCATACGCACAATCAGACTCGGCTATGCAATTCAGTTCGCGAAACGGCCCCCCAAGTCATGGGTGTTTATTCACCAGGATCAGCCCCCTGTCTGCCCCTGTCTTGCGAGAGGAGCCGCTCCCTTCAGCCGAGATGGAGAGCGGGTTTTAAAGCCTACACTTTATCGTGCCCAAAAAAAACGGTGGGTCACGGCCAAACCTAAATCTGCGTGTTTTGAACCGCTATCTGCACAAGCTGCCGTTCAGAATGCTCACGCAGAAGCGCATCCTCCGGTGCGTTCGTCCTCTGGGTTGGTCTGCAGCATTAGACTTGATGGACGCATATTTTCATGTCTCCACTCTTCCTCGCCACCGTCAGTTTCTGCGGTTTGTGTTTAAAGGTCGAGCTTGGCAATATAAAAGTCCTCCGCTTCGGGCTCTCTCTGTCTCCGTGGGTCCTCACCAAGCCCACGGAGGTTGCCTTAGCGCCCCTTCAGCTCGCGGGCATCCGCGTACTCAATCATCTCGACGACTGGCTGATTTTTGCCCACTCTCAGAGCAATTGATTATGCACAGAGACAAAGTGCTCCGGCACTTCCACCTGTGGGGGTTTCAGGTCAACCGATAAAAAAGCAAACTCGCCCTTGTGCAGAGGATCTCTTCTCTCGGGCTGGAGCTGGACTCGGTCACCATGGCAGCGCACCTCTCCGGAGAGCGCGCTCAGCTGATGCTGTACTGTCTGAGAGAGCTCGACAGTAAAATAGTGGTCCCACTGAAACTATTTCAAAGGCTCCTGGGGCATATGGCATCGGCAGCCGCTTCACGCCGCTCAGATTACTCTATATGAGACCACTTCAGCACTGGCTTCACGATCGAGTCCCCAGACGCGCATGGCACGCGCGCGCACACTGAGTCTCTGTTACTGCGCTGTGTCACCGTGCCCTCAGCCTTTGGAACGACCCCTCGTTCCTACAGGCCTGAGTGCCTCTAGGACAGGCGTCCAGTCTTGTTGTCGTTTCAACAGACGCTTCCAACACGGGCTGGGGGGCTGTGCGTTGCGGGCATGCGGCTGTGGACCTGTGGAAAGGTACCCAGTTGCATTGGCATATCGCCTGGAGCTGTTGGCAGTGTTCCTCGCTCTCCACCGTTTTTTTCCGGTGCTGGAGCAGCAACACCAGCGGTGCTGGTCAGGACGGACAGTGCGGCGGCGGCGGTGTATATCAACCATATAGGGGTATGCGCTCTCGCCGCATGTCTCAGCTCACCCGCCGTCTGCTCCTCTGGAGTCATCCGCGGCTGAAATTGCTGCACGCCATTTATATTGAGGCAAGCTCAACCGTGCAGCCGATGCGCTCTCCTGGAGAATGGAGACTCCACCCCGAGTCTGTTCAGCTGATATGGGCGCGATTCGGGGAAGCCTAGATCAATTTGTTGCTTCCCCTGAAATCGTTCATTGCCAGTTGCTCTTCTCCCTGACCGAGTGCTCTCGGCACGGATGCATTGGCTTACAGCTGGCCTCGGGGCATGCGCAAATACGCGTTTCCCTCAGTGAGCCTGCTCGCGCAGTTACTGTGCAAGGTCAGGGAGGATGAGGAACAGGTTGCTGGTTGCGCCCCTCTGGCTCAACCGGACCTGGATGTCAGAGCTCTCACTCCTCACGATGGCCCTCCCCTGGCAGTTCCCTTCAAGAAAGCACCTACTCTCTGAGGGACAGGGCACCATCTGGCACCCTCGCCGATCTTTGGAGGTCCTTAGACGCGAGGAAGACTTAGGTAACCTCCGATTGCGGTGGCTAATACTGTCACTCGGGCTAGAGCCCCCTCCCCGAGCGCGCCTATGCCCTGAAGTGGAGTCTATTTACTGAATGGTGCGTCTCTCGCAGAAAAGACCCCCGTAATTTGCCAGATCAGCGTTGTGCTTTCTTTACGCCGAGAGAAGCCGGAGAGCAGGCTGTCGCCCTCCACACTCAAGGTTACGTGGCTGCCATCTCCGCTCTCATGA